CGCCAAGTTCTGTAGTTCGATGACCTCCGGACCTTGGTAGTGATTCTTGGTAACACTCGCGTCTTCCAGTCGAAGATCCAAGTTCCTAAGGTGGGCGGAGTTATTTCGGTGACTGTTCCAACGATTCCGCTTCCACCGTGTAGTTCGATTTGTGATGACGTTCGGAGCAAGCTCTCCCGAATCGAGATTTCGTAGACAATAATTTGAACGTGACTTTGTGCCAAAATTCACTCAACTCTGATCGGACGCTGAAAAGTAGAGAGAGAAAATTCCAAGGGGAAATTAAAACTATATAACCTTTTATGTTAGAATTAATCATTCCCGGCATTATCCTTCTCTCCTCCCAGCGAAGTTTCTTAATTCAAGCTGAAGTTAAACAAAAATTTACATCTTACAGCGGGCACCGGTGACAATGAAGAATCGCTGATAATTTAAACTGATATAACTTTGCAGGAGAAGATCATAGAACCGTCTACTTGATCTCGTTTTAAAGCACGGAACCTTTACTTTCACGCCCTTCAGTTCGTTTCCTTCTCGAGGATATTTTTATATCACGTACGGCAAACACACTTTTATTCTCGAAAATTGTTTGGGAACATTAACGAATTTTTTAGAATTCGCTTTGACGATTTTGTTGCACCACTTTTGGAACGTTAGGCTTGGCTGACGAAATTTTTGTTTCTTTAAAATGGCGAAAAGAAGAAAAGAAAATCGTACAAAGAATCGTTTTAAGGAAGACACTCCAACATTTTCAAAAGTGGTGGATCAATTACAGTCGAGGGAAGTTGAAAAAAGATTTTTTTTAACTTTTCCACACACGTCTAAATTTTTACAATTATCATGAACAGAAACCTTCTCGCCCAAATTTTACGATTTTACAATTTCTACAACCGCGGAATTTTTATAATTTGTCGCTCGTCGAAGCGAAGACTTCACGCTTTAACCTCTTGCGCTGGAATGACGTGCCATGCAAAATTGCAATATTTCCTCAGTTTTAAGTATATTTAAATATAACCCAGGCAAAACAAATAATGAATTTATTGCTTCTCAATAATTTATTTAAATAATAAATTATTTAATATTATATTATATTAATATTATATTATTTATAATTACAACTATTATATTAATTATAATTATAACTTATATTATTTATAATTATAACTATAATAATTTATCCAGTGATATCATACCGAGACGAGATCAAGAAGAAAGCGACGAATTATTGTATACGGCTCGGTCACTCGTTATGGTCCGCAATCGGTTGCCAGCGCAAGTGGTTAAAGCGTAACCAAGTGGATGGTCGAATAATCTTCTTCTGCAAAACCATATCAGTATCAAATATTTTTCATTGTCACCATTGTTTCTCTTCGAGAAACATAATGAAACAATTATCACCCTATAGAGAAGACAGGTTCCAAAGCCCGACGGGCTGGGAAAAGAAGCGGCAATACGTGAAACGCGGGCGGAGTGGAGACGGAATACAGATTCGCCGAGTATCGTGCGAATATATATCGAGTGGAGCCGGGGCCGTGTATACCGGGACGTTTACGTATCACGTTATTGGACAAAAGTTGCACCATCGGTTTCAGACGCGACGCAATCTGATTTATCGGCCGGCACGGATTTTTCGCTACGAGAGGGTGAAACTACGAGACGGGCCATTTTTCTCAGCCTGCAGCTGGATAACGTGCCTCCCCCCCCAACCTCCCCCATATGCACACATACACATATATACACGCTTTCTCTCTCTCTCTCTCTGTGTCTCTTTTTTTCTCCTTATTACACATTCTCCCCTCTGACTCGATGTTTTGTACCTTGTTTCTCTCTCTTTCTGTCTTTCCAACAGGCGGGTGTAGACGAGACCAAGTCTAATAGATGGAAAAGTGTAAACTGAATCGATATTTGAAACTTAGTTACAACTTGGTGAAAGTTTGAGAAAGAATTAAATGTACAACAGTCCGCTTGGTCGTCGCTGAAGTGATTCATTCGCTTGAGAAAATTGTCACCTCTCGCGTGTCTCGACGTATTCAAAAAATTTAGAAAATCGTGCGAATTGTGTATAAAAATTGTGTATAAAAATTGCTGGCTCGAGCTTTAATTATCTTGTGATGGAATAAACAAAATGATGCCAGAATTGACGTGACTTTCCAGAATATTTCAATTCTCTCCTAATTTTTCATCGCTCTTAATCACGGGGATCTTAGGTCTTCTTGCACAGTAGTCGAAGACAATAGTCGCCGTGCAAAAATGATTTCGCAATTTTAAAAAACAAAAATAAACGAAATAATATGATATTCGTAACTATCCAGTATTGCAATTCTCTCCCAATTTCTGATCGCTCTTAATCGCGAGGATCTTGAGACACTGGTAGGTCTTCTTGCGCAAAGACAACGGTCGTCGTGCAAAAATTATTATTTCCGAGTGAAAAATTAAAAATAAAAATTCCTTTGTTCGCGTAGAAAGAGAACGAGAGATCAGATCGTATACGAGGGGATCGAGTGAAATCGATGTGACCAATTTTCCTCGTCGGAATAATGCAAACGATACAAGCGCAAACGTTCCGCGATATTGCAACGCAACGCAACGAACAATCGGCGTAACTGGATGGAGAAAATCGGGCGATATGAGATTCCGCTGAATATCAATGGGGGGAGGGGAGAGAGAATGCCATGGTGATTCATTTCAATGCGTGGCAACACGCCACGTTGCTAGAAGGGCCGGGCCGTTGGCTTTAATGGAACGAGCGCCCCGGTAAACAGAAGGAACTGATCGAAAATTCTTGCGTGCTGGTCTGATACGTGCGTCGGACACTTGGAAAGCTGAGAGTTAGTTTCCTGGAGCTGTTCTCCTTCTCCTTCTGTTTCCGTTCGCTCGCGCCTCGATTACGAATGAGGAGGATCCGGATGGAACTCTCGTTTCGTCGGGTCAGGCTCTCGTAAATTGAAAGCAACACCGGTTAAAAGTTTCTTCAGTTTCGTTCAGGATAACCTTGTTACATTTCGCGAACGGCTGCTGCGCATAGAAAGATTTGTTCTTTTTTTTTTTTTAGGACAAGTTACTCGCGAAGGTGTTCGAACACTTCACGAATATACATCTGAAACGTTTTGAAATTTCATTGTAACAAGAACAAGCTATCGTGGTTATGTTGATGAGGTTTGAAATGAATTTAAATATAAACATAAATATTATATATTTCGTAGAGATTATTAAAAGTATTTAAACGTAGTCCGTTATATCAATGTTCAATGATGTGAATTATGTCATTATGATCGACATACGACTTCAGTTTCGTTGAATAAAGGCTGCTGCGCGTAGAATGATTTCTTCTGTAAGGCTAACTGGCAGCTCGTGAGCTCTCGTCCTCACTTTCCTGACCGCCAGCGTTACACCCTCCACTGTTCTCCCTCCATCGATCTCTCCACTACATCGAAATTTCCTCGCCGTGCGTAAGAGAGTGGGGGGAGATCGATGCAGTGGAGGGGGTAGCATTAGCGATCAGGACTCGCGGGCCGCCAGTTAGCTTCTGTAGAATGTAAATACTCAGTTGCTCGTAAAGATGTTCAAACACTTGTAAATAATACTCTATAAACATATTATGCACGTGGAATTGCATTAACACTTGTAACAAGAACAAACTGTCGTGATTACGTTGATGAAGTTCGAAGGAAATCTGGGATCGTTAAATATTTGTTTCGATAATATTTGATACGAGTACATACATTTCACAGAGATCGTGCAGGTATTTAAACATTTAAATTGTTATCTGTTTGTATCAATATTCAATTATGTCATTATATCAGTATGTAATTATAAGTTTATTCTGACTTTTACTAATATCTTATAACATTCAAGTGCTAATGGAATTTTAATATGTTCCACATGATACTCATAGTATATTGGAAAAAATTATATCGTTACGTAATTATCACTTTATTCTAATATTTACTAGATATGTACTTGTAATAAATATTTTGCAACATCAGTGTCAATGAAATTTCAAAATATTGAAAAATATTTTGATTGTTATACTACACATTACATATTCATGTAAAGTATTATGTTATTAGATATTTTTAATTAAACATTATCGAAATTAATTTGCAAAATGTATATAATACACAAGAAGATATAAAATGGAATACTCGTTAAAATATTTACCAGTCGACACAGATCTCTCAGTGTTGCGATCGCGAAAATCGTCGGAATGCGTAAACAATGAGGAATGATCGGATCAAAATCATCTGCTACCTACCAATTAGCAAATACAAACAATCTGATCCGACAATCCTTTTCTTCCAACTCTTCTGCCGCTACTTTTTCTCCCGTCGAGATAATCGTGTTCGCTTAATTTCCCGCAGAAGTTGTTTATTAGCTGTGGTCCCGCGCAAGTTTACCTCGGTTCTCAGGACTTTTGTCCGAGTAATCTCGGCGCCGGGGCTTTTTGACCAAATTTATTTAATCGCCGGGGAATTTCGTCGAAAGCGCCGCGCTTCAAAGGAAAGTTTCTTCGATATTTTCGCAGTTTTTTTAACTCGTAACTGGTGTCACTAGAGAGGGCAGAGAAATTCTGTCACTTTGAAAAATTACTTAATCTAGAAACGACGTCAATAACGATACTCGTTACTTTCACGTTTTAATTTATTCATTATTTACTAGATACTAAGTTTGAATTAAATCTCGTCACCAATCGATCATTGGTCGAAAGAGAAATTTCCCATGAATTATGTATATTCGGTGTCGCGAAGATTTTTAATAAAATTATTGGTACAATAATAATTTACAATGAAACATTTTCATTTATTCATTATTTACTGAATATTCGTCGAAAAGTTAGGCATAAAAGTTTAAATTTTAAAAGAAAGTTTGAACTGATCATCGCTGTTAATCAGAAGAGAAATTTTACCTTTCAGTGTCGCAACGATTTTGAATAAAATTATTATAATCTCAGTGATTGACTCAAATTCGGTTATGCTATAAATCCACTACAATCGTGATGCGTCATCGTCGACTCGTTAATAATCACACATTTGTCAGCAATATAAAAGATTTAACAATCGCTGATTTCGCCAGAGGATTCAATAACAGGCACGTTCAACGCGTTATTTATGCAATCTATCACCCAGAGGAAACACGTGCCGGCGATGTTCTGAAAATACGGTAGAATGAATTTCTCCTTCATGCATCGTTTGTACCACTCGAGTTCCTCCGTCTCCAGTGTCTTGTGCCCGAGGAATTCGTCGTGTTTCATCGATTTTCGAAGACCGTTTGACTTCTTCGTCTGCCACTGCCTCTCGAGACCGATCTTGTACGTTTCCACGTCGATCGTCTTCCTCGTGCCCAACGACAGAGCGTGCAGACTGTCTTCCAGGCGATCGTACACTGTCATCTTCGTTTTCTCTTGGACGAGTTTCTTCTCTTGGTCCACTGAGAACCGTGATTGGGGATCGTCGCGTACTAACTGGGTGCACGATTTGAAGGTTAGAGATGGTTTGGAAATTGTTTTATTTAATATTTTTCTCTGGTGGTGGTGTTGCGTGTTTGTTTCGGGGAAATTTAGAGTGTGAAATATTGTGTGATAATATAACATAATATATAAAATAATACAATACAAAACAACTGAACAATATTATTATCTATTGTAGTTTATATTACTACTGTAACTACAATATTTTTACTATATTATATTATAATTATATTGTATATTATACATTACATTATATATTATATTATAATATATTTTTATTATATTATAATTATATTGTATATTATATATTAATGTTATTATACATATTGAATTGTAATTATAATTTACACGACATTGTAATATTTTTCATTATGTGGATCAATCAAAAGCTGACTGATAAAGTCCATGAATTGAAATGCAAAAAAGAATGGCAATTGCAGACATTTACAAAATTGCTATATCCTGTGATAAATAAATATTTGCCATAAGTATTAAGAATATTATGTAATATTATAATTTTAATATTATGCAATCTTAATATTTTAATATCTATATATATATTAATATTATCACGTAATAAGAATATTACCATCAAATAATAATAAATAAATATTATTATTTATAATTTAATAATTAAATTTAATAATAACAAATAAATATCACCAAAGATAATTAATAAGTATCTGCAATTACTGTCACAGTTAAAAACTATGCGTTCAGCCCCAGAATGAAATAAAAATTCAAATATCCGGCGATTAATTAACAGTATATACTAAATTTGGAAGCTTCACTCTCACTCCGAAAAGTCGCTAATTCCGAAATCAAAGTAGAATAATTGTCCCCTGTTGTCGCTCGTTAATTAATTTTCTAACATCGACGTCACTGAAAAACGAGCATCGTCTTGCCGGAGTTCAACCAAGATAATTTCATGGAGGTCGAACGTGCGGATGATTTTGCATAATATGCAAGAAGACAGGAGGATAACCGATTCGGTGGAAATTTAATTGGAAGATTCCATGGGCATTGGTTTGGTAAAAAGCACACATTAATTCAACTAACGGACATCCAATAGCGTCCGAGCGCCCTTTGAAGATCGATCACCGGGTTTCCACCGGGTTCCTTGAATCCGCGCAGAATACGAACGCTCAATAATTCGGGAAGAGACTCGATGTCGGCCATTAGCGGCAGCTCGTGGATATTTTTCCAAATACCATTACCGTTCCTTCCGAATGGGAATAGCCAATCATACGGAATCGAGTAAGTGCTTCGCGGCATGTCCCTTCGATCGTAGTTGGTCGGCTTCACCTGACAGTCCTGACAAAATTCAACGTAGCTTTGTTAATCACGAGAATCTGCAGCTTTTAAATGAATCTCTAGGTAAAAGATAGTAAAACATACATAGCTCTCAAAGGAATCTGTTAAGTCATTTGTAGCTTTTAAACAAACAGAAGAAAATAATCGAAGAGCGACATAAAATCATTGTTAAATGTTTAAAAAATGTTTTGGACAATTTTTGAAAAATTCACTTGCTGGTTGAAGTTGTAGAAATGGTAAAAAGACGGGGTTTCTAGATAAAGTCTACTGTTGTATAATTATCATTGGCACGTGTCCTTTTTATAACTACATATAATTATAATTATGTTTACGTTTCAACTACACATAATTATTACATAATTATAAAGTTTCACTGGTCATCTGATTTGTAATAAGTTTGATTAAATACATAGTATGAATGTACATAATTGTACATAGATCTTCCCAGCATCGATTTATTTATTCCTTTAAACAAATGCAAGAAACATCCTCAGTATTTTAGAATCGGTCCAATTTCAATTAATTAATCAATCAAGACCTATGAAACGTTGGAAACATTTTTTTTTTTTTCTTCGTTTCAAATTATATTATATTTCTGGTCACTGGCACAACTGCACGATCGAAGTTGTATTCAGCTACTTTCGTTTGTCTTTGATGGCTTCAGTTACAAAGTTTTTAATTACTCGTTGCAAATTTCCTCGAAGCGTCTTTGAACTTTCGCTGCCTGTTGCAGCGAGGCTTGCAAAGTTCGTTGAAGAAAAAAGAGGTCTGGAAGGTGTTTATCGCTGCACAGTATTACGCTACAGAGTAGGAAATTGAATGGTATCTCTGCAACTCGAGCGGGAAGACTTGGTAATTAATAGACTGCGAATATTTTGTGAATTTGTAGGAAATCTGACAGTGTGAAGCTGCACAGGATGAAAGTAATACGGAGAAAGGAAAATATATAAAAATATTCCCCATCGAGGTTCTTTTTCCTCAATCGCGTATTTTGGATATTGTGAACTTGTATGAAAATAATTCAATTACAACGGTGAACACTTCGTACATTTTAGAATATTATATCTATGTTATCTCGTTATCAATTTAAATTAATCATATCGTCAGTCAATTACCAATTTACCAAGTTTGGTTTATATCTGAACACTGTTAAAAGTAATTTACGTTCAAATTAGAAAATTAAACAATTCAGAAATTTCAGGAGAATCTGCTTTCTCAGAATTTTCTCTTCTTTCGATACTCAAGTTATCCCGAATTTCCATCGTAAAATTCACGTATGTACAAATGAATTCATTCAAGAACAAACAACCTCAAACTTGATCCGACGAATTAGAAACACCATTTGTTCGCAATTAGAAATAATTTCCAAATTAGAACAAATCAGAGCACACAATCTTTCCACATTTATTATTCTCGAACTCACCGGAAACGATAACATGTTCTTCAGCCGAGACTCACTTCCCACTGGTTCAAACGTGATCAAACGACGAGGACTCCCGTACAAAATCACGCTGATCTCTCTGTCAAACACCGACGTCAGCTCAATTTCATTTCTAGTCAACCTGTGAACGTACTCGTAAGCTGTGAGATCACGATTTATCGCAAATAATCTGCAATCAACTCGGTCGTTCTCGAAACGTAGTGTTTCGTGGTTGCAAGGGGTTTGCACGTCTTCCTCGAACTCCTCCTCGCAGTGTTCAATTCGTTTCGCCGTAACTACGCCCGTGTTCGATATTTTCTGACATTTTAACGTTCGATTGCCATGGCTGTAATGCGTTTCGCCGTCGCCTGTCACTTCGAACACGTTGCCAAACACGTCGGTGGTGGTGAATATGGCTGATGAATCGAATGGGTGGAAATTGTACCTGGACGTGGATTGGCTGCCGCAGATTGCGCACGTATTCCCTTTGAACGATAGACTGTCTTCGTCGATCTGGCAAAACGATATTTTCTCGGGGAGAATTTAGTTTGTTTCAACCGTTTGTATAATTGTACGATTAGCTAATGTAATTGTAGTAAATAATATTTAACGACAAGTACACACAGTCGTACGATGTAAATACGTAATCGAGTAAATCGGGCGAATGGTTGAAACACACTTATAAAAATTACAGAATTCTAAAAATTTCAAAGTCGTAGAATTCCGTAGAGTTGCAGAAATAAAATTCCGAAAGTCTACCGGATGCTAACGAATAGAATACTCGTGATCAGAATTATAGAATTTCGAAGCCACCGGGTACGCAGTATAGTATTGAATGATCCGTAGATTCTAAAAATCACGAGGCACGAGAAGCTGCACACAGTAATCACCGTCAATCTGAAGAACCTTTCATCCCTAAGCCCCGATTTTAATCCCCAGTTTCTCGCAAGTGCACGGAATATATATCGGTGGCACCATTACAGCCGAGGACCCAGATACCCAACGAATCTCATCTACCAGGTTTTGATTACCTTTAGATTAACTCCGTCCGCCATCAAAACTTCGTAATGACCTCTCCTTGATATGCTGACTCGAAGATCGTCGGGCATTGATAAAGTGCAGTTAACTGCTGACTGATCGTACGACACGGCGGCATAGTTCTTGTGCTCGGCGCGGCACGTCAACAGCACCGAGACGAAGCTGTCCCTGATCAATAGCTCGTTTATTTTCTCCTCCTCGTACGACGGCGACGTACGCGGCTCGTCCACGTATCCTGGATTCGATAACGAACGATCCGCGCAGCGTTGCTCGTCGGTGGCGAAATACAAGAGAACCTCCTCCTCGGTCCAGTCACACGTCACTGGTTCTTTTTCTATGGTGTAGCCGGTCGTGATACGCGTACCGTCTGCAACCGGAGCTTCAAATTACACGAACGAACGAAGGAACTCAAAAAAGTTTTCACTAGTGTGTCTCTTTTTTCTTTAATATTTTGAGCGGCGAGATTGTATCGTTCTTCTTTTCAAATATTTTAAGATATAATATCGTATTATATCTGTTGTAAATTATTCTTTTAAATGTTTCAAGTATTATATTTCTAAATATGAATGTAAATATTATATATTTAAATATTTTAAATATTAAAATATATAAAATAGTGCAGTATAGTATACAATATAATATAGTATAGTAAATATAGTATAGTATAGCATAGTGAATATATAATATAGTATAGCATATAGTATAGTATATAGTATAGCATAGTGATATATAATATAGCATAGTATAATATAATAGTATAGCATACTATTATATTATACATAATAATATAATATAGTACAGTATAGTGATATATAATATAGTATAGTATAATATAATAGTATAGTATACTATTATATTATACATAATAATATAATATAATATAGTATAGTGATATATAATATAGTATAGTATAATATAATAGTATAGCATACTATTATATTATACATAATAATATAATATAGTATAGTATAGTATAGTATAATATAGTATAGTATAGTATAGTATAATATAGTATAGTATAGTATAGTATAATATAGTATAGTATAGTATAATGAATATATAATATAGTATAGTATAATATAGTATAGCATAGCGAATATATAATATAGTATAGTATCGTATAGTAGTATTCTTTTGAATATTACAAGTATTTTAAATTACTCATTACACGTGTTATGTAACAGATATTTCGTGCTTTACCTGATTTCGTGAATTACTGGATTTTATGAATTATGAACTTCGTTACATGATATTTTGATGTCGCAGATTGTTTTATCGTTATTGTTAGTTCGATGAATTATAAGTTCGCTGCTGTTTGGTTCTCTTTCGTTGTGTTTCATGAATCTCATGAATTTTGTTATTTGAGTTTTCAATGTAGATTGTTTCACAATGTTAGCGATTCGATGAATTATAAGTTTCCTTGGTTTTATGCATTACGAGTTGTTTTTGTCGATTACAAACGAAATGACAAACTTGGCATTACGAACGTGTCTCATTTTATCTTCTCAATTACGAATTTGACATTACGAATTGTCTTACGCTGTCTCGTTCGTGAATGATGAATTGTTCCGAGTTCATCAATTATAAATTCAGTATTGCGTATCGTTTTGGTACATTATTCGATTTCACGAGCTATGCATTTGATTACTACATGAATAGAGAATGAAGAATACAAAAGTTTGAAACCAATCTGAAAATATATACAAGGTGCAAGATATGCACCATAGATTCGATAAAAAATATTCAAAATACTTGTAATATTCAAAAGAATACTACTTGAAATACTTAAAATATTTAACTAATATACAATATAATATAATATTTAAAACATTTAAATAATATATAATATAATATAATATTTAAAATATTTAAGTAATATATAATATAATATAATATTTAAAATATTTAAATATGTAATATTTATATTTACATATAAAAATATAATACTTGAAACATTCCAAAGAAAAATTGACGACAAATACGATAGAATGCTTGAAAAAGAATATTAATTGACAATGGATATTTAAAATATTTAAAAGAAAAATGGACGAAAGCATTCATCTCGTATTTCTTTTTCGAAACAAAGAACAATAATACGGCGGAGTCGTTAGGTCAAGGGGCAATTGACGCGCGGTAGTTGCTCAAACGTTCGTGGAAATTGCGTTCAACAGAGCAAACAAAATACAGGAGGAGAATATGAAGGAAAGTTCGGGAGTGGAAAGTTGATGAACTTGGCTCTCTGGCCTCGTGATACGTTACGAGAATGCTTTGCTGTGCGGTGGTACAGCAGTCGGTGAATCGTTGCGACGTTTTACAGCGTTGCATAAGATAAATATTTACCGCTGCGCGGCTTGATAACGTTAAATCATTTGGGCAACCTGTTTAACGAAATTGCACGGCACACAGGGGAGCCGCGAATCGATATTTCGGATTCTCTTGGAATTATTCCGTTTCTGTTGGAAGATTAAACGGGCAATTAAATGTTTGGCAATTCTCTTTCATCTGAATATCGACGAGTGTTTGCTTTGTATCTAGAAATTCGCGTTAATTTCCCGGTGAAAATTGATTGTGCAGTTAATTGCTTTAATTTGTGTCCGATCTTATAAACGAAAATAAACAATGAAGTTTTTATTTTTCATTTTTTAAATGATTCTTTATAGAATCGGACATAAAAAAAAAAAACGTCGCAAATTTTTAGAAAATTAGAGACCACGTTTATGTATAAAAATTTAACTTACGCACGAAGATTACAGATAAGTATACTTTCTCTAATGAAAATCCAACGGAACGGATATTCCTTTTAAATTCAACGAATGAAAATTGCAAAATTTCCAAATTAATCAAATGGTTAACGCGAAAACTTCAACCCACGTTCACGCTGATTTATTCACGTTATATTCACAATCGCGTTCTACACATCCGTCTTCTCGAAGTCGACGAAATTCGACAGGATTTTACGAACGGCAACGCGACGAAATCGACGATACCCAGCCGATTTAGCTAAATTCGATACTGTTAAATTGATTGTATTAAACGCCGGTCGTCTAGCTTCCCCGCTGAAGACGCTGCCTGATACCCGATCTCGCTGCGGGAGTTGCGAGCCTCATTGAACGAAATATAATAGCCAGCCAGAAATTGGAATCCGCTGAGCAAAGCGTGGCGCAAGCACGCGAGGTGAAACGGTACCTGGGAATCTGACGATCAATTCACCATTGGAATTCAGCAACACGTTGGTGCCGTCAGCCCGCCGCGTGAATTTCTCGTCGACCTCGTAGTCGGACGCCGTTCTCACGAGTAATCGATGATGTTCACTTACGACCAAGTCGTCCACCACCTCGTACACCCGGCCATCGTCATTCAAGACCGTATACCGTGACACTTTGACCGTGTTGTCCGTCGCTGACAGGACATCCAGATTCTGGAAGAGGACAGGAGTGGGAAGTCACGCTTGCGATTGACAAAGACGAATATACATACGTAGACTCGCAGTTGGTTTGCAATTGTAGATGCCATGGGATTCGAAATATTTCTGGATCACGTTTTGTGGTTAGGTTTGGTTTTCGTTCGATCGTATTTATTTTAGGAATATTATTCTTTTGATAATAATTAGATCCCACGCCTATAGATTTTTATATACTTTGAGGAGCTTTTGTGATATGTTATAAAGTATTTTATAGTATACTTTGAGAAGCCTTTATAGTAGATTAAAAAGTATTTTATGGTATACTTTGAGAAGCCTTTATAGTGTATTGGAAAGTATTTTATAAGTATACTTTGAGAAGCTTCTATAGTACAATATTTTATAGAACTACTTACAGTATTTTATATTTTTATATTATATAAAAATACTTACAGTGTTATACTTATAGTATTTTATATTTTTGTACTTTGAGAAGCTGTTACATTATAATATTTTATAAAAATACTCATAGTACTTATAGTATTTCATATTAACATACTTATAGTATTTTATATTTTTATATACTTTGAGAAGCTTTTATGATATATTATAAAGTATTTTATAGTATACTTTGAGAAGCTTTTACATTATAATATTTTATAAAAATACTCATAATACTTATAGTATTTTATACTAAAATACTTATAGTATTACACTTATAGTATTTTATATTTTTATATACTTTGAGAAGCTTTTATGATATATTATAAAGTATTTTATAGTATACTTTGAGAAGCTTTTATAGTATAATATAGTATAATTTTATAAAAATACTTAGAGTATTTTATATTAAAATATTTATAATATTGCAGTATTTTATATTTAAAATATAAAATACTTATAGAATTATACTTATAATATTTTATATTTTCGTATACTTATAGTATTTTATATTTCGTATACTTTCGTATACTTTCGTATACTAATATGGCATATTATAAAGTATTTTATAGTATACTTTGAGAAGCTAATATGGTATAATACTTATAGTATTTTTCATAATATTTTGTATTAAAATATTTTTAATATTATACTTGTGGTATTTTATATTATATAAAAATACTTACAGTATTTTATATTTCACGACATTTTCAGTTACTTTCGGGAAAGTATATAAATTTGGACAACATTTTAATAATTACGTTTTAATAAACGTTATTACTTATGAATATACGTTATACTACTCATATATAGTAATATATTACTTATATTAAAAATACGAAGTTTTCTTTTTTTAACCGAGCAGTGAATTCAGAAACTGCGGGAATCTCGTATTAACCTTCGGGTCAACAAACGGCGAATTTAATAATCTGTGTTTCTCGGCCGGCTTCGAGAGCGTCGGCATTGTTAACTTTATTTGATTTTCTGAGAGGTTAATTTACGCGATCCCCGGGACAAAAGGACCGAGTCTCGATGGGGTTGAACGTTTTCCTCTTATTTAACTTGCCAGATCGAGCGAGACTCAAGTTCTTGGATTAAAACGATATTTAACGGACACTTGACTAACCGTTGTTAAATTCTTCTGAGCGGACGCGAGATCTCCCTCGCCGGTTTCGAACAACGAAGATTTCAAGTCACTCATTGGCTTTCTTCTCGTTTTGGACTCCTTCGTCTCTTTCGGTCTGTCACCTTTAAAAAATGAAACGTTCTCGATGCTCGTCTGAATTCAGAAAGCTCGATACAACATTTGGATAACGTTGTTGCATTTTTCGCGCCCCATGGAATCCCGTAAAATTGTTTACGTGTTATAACAGTTTAAAATATACTTCAATATCTAGTAATACTAATACTCTATTGATATTAATAGAAATAAAAAGTATTAATATTATTAATATTAATAGAAGAAAAATAAGTCTTCAAAATCTAGTCAATAGCAAAGAGAAAGAGAATTAACTTACAACTGCTGAATCAAAGTCAATTATTTTTCCTCTGAAGGAGAATTAATTCTGAATACCTGAACCATCTTTGGCCTGGTGGTCGTAATTTCTTCCCCGCTTGACTCCAAGCTTCTCAAACGCGGTGCAAGTCACGACTACCCCGTTTGGACGAAGAACTATCACCCTGCCGTCGTGTAAATACTTGAGAACCGTCCCGTTTCTGAGAAACTTTCTGCAAATTTCACGATCATTTTCGGAGTTGACGTAACCTCTCGGTGTGTAGGACTGTCGAATGTAATACGGATTGTCTGGCCCGTCACCGACCACCGATTCTATCAGTAATCCCGTAGGCCAAGAAATTCTGTGCTCCACGATCGTGTTTTGCCACGTGTGAGAACGATTCGTCGATGCATCTGATACAGTATAAAATCACAAAGTGAATCAAGTGAACTTTGTTTATACATAAAATTCTGACGCGTTTTGCTACCCTGTGAGACAAAGTTGTAACATTTATTTACAATGGTCGTTCAATTCGAGATGCGAGATAATTGCACGAGCTGCGTTTGAGACACATGTACTCGCAGTCAAAGGATTAACAGAATAATTAAATTTTGTTAACGTTGTAAAATCGATATTTTTGACGTCGATGCAAATGGAACAATTCGAGCAAACGCACGATCAGATTTCAACAGTGTGCAACGCTATTGCGAAGTTTGTCTCGGTGAAGTGTATGAAGCTGCACGTTAGTCAAAACTTGATTCAAACGCCACTTCCACGACTAGTCTTCAGCAAGTACTTCGACGATGTTAATTTATCTCACAAACGTGTATCATGACGCGTGAAACGAGATTTGACAAAGTACATGTTTGCTAGATCACAGTGTAGCCGAGATTGCGTTCCAAATCTACAGATTGTCATTTAAATTAAATTACTCGTTAATTTCAATTAATTCCATCAATTCAAATAATAATTAATTTTAATTTGACTTCAAAATATAAATATAATTGTACATATATATAATTTTAAATATGAATAAATTTTGCAATCCTCTTGTATAATTTGTGAAATTATTGGATACTTATAGTTCATGCAATGTAACATTTTGGGTACTTGTAATTCATATTTTTAGGAAAACAAGACGTAAGATTGAATTGAGATAAATACAAAGATTAATTTAAAATTTGCTTCAGAGGGTGCAAGTTGTGTAAAAATTAAATCGTCCAGTGTTTCAAATAAAAAAATATTAAATATCAATATAAAGAAATAGAAAAATATTAAGTTTACGAATAAAAAAATATTAAACTAATTATTTCGCCTATATTCGTAGGTTTCATACTCTTGCATGTCACTTGAAAAGATTTCTGACATATTTGGGATAAATTTCTAAATTTCTAAATTTCTAAGTTTCTAAATCTCTAAGTTTCTAAATCTCAAAGTTTCTAAATCTCAAAGTTTCTAAATCTCAAAGTTTCTAAATCTCTAAGTTTCTAAATCTCTAAGTTTCTAAATCTCTAAGTTTCTAAGTCTCAAAGTTTCTAAGTCTCAAAGTTTCTAAGTCTCAAAGTTTCTAAGTCTCAAAGTTTCTAAGTCTCAAAGTTTCTAAGTCTCAAAGTTTCTAAGTCTCAAAGTTTCTAAGTCTCAAAGTTTCTAAGTCTCAAAGTTTCTAAGTTTCAAAGTTTCTAAATCTCAAAGTTTCTAAATCTGTAAGTTTCTAAATCTCTAAGTTTCTAAATCTCTAAGTTTCTAAATCTCAAAGTTTCTAAATCTCAAAGTTTCTAAATCTCAAAGTTTCTAAATCTCCAAATTTCTAAATCTCCAAATTTCTAAATTTCTAAAATATTTGTCTTACGTGGTGACGACAGTTTCTGGAAAGCAAGAATAATTCCCAGCTTGCTCGTCAAATGGAACATTTCGTCCGTTTCGGGGGCGTCGATCCTACGAGATAATCGTAGACTGTTTCCGCGGATGGTGACGGTGATTCTCAAATGCTTGGCCTTGTAAAGCCAATCGTCCACTTCGACTCGGACCAGGGTGTCGTCGGCCGAACGAAACGTTCTCCTGCGATTTGTCACTTGTACGCGAAGTCTCCCGAGATCGTAACCAACGAAATCATAAACTGGTTCACTCTCGGCCCGGTCGGGAGGAGGGCCCGGTGACACTTTTCCAGTAATCAACGGAGAAGTTTCGACGTCGACCGACTTTCTCGGACTGCTCGATTTGTCGTTCTTCTTTTTGCCTCCCTTAGACGGTCTCTTCTTCTTCTTCTTCTTCTTCCCTTCCTCGGTCGTCTTCTCTGTCGGGGTATTGGACGATACGTCTGCGAAAGAAGGTTTTCCCCGCGTCGAACATTTGATTACTATTGTGTTTCGTACACTGTGACAGAATTGTGGGAGAAATTGGAAGTAAATGTGTTTGGAAGCACCGAGTCGTGTAATATGTTATGTTTGACCAAGTAAACGTTGAATTCGATATGAGAGAAAATTATGTAGCGCAGTATACCAAATATGAATTATTATTTGCATTGTTCTAATGCTCGGCTGTATTAAGTAATTAAATATTCAATTTTCATTGACAATAGAAATTGAAATGAAGTATATAATAATATATTATATGTATTATTTAAGTAGCATGTTATTAATGAATAATTATATTAATTGTCAAGTATCATTAATATTAAATATTAAAACAAAATAGTGTCGAATTTAATAAAAGATATTAACAAACAGAGATGAAGCTCTTGAATCCAACATCCAAGATTCCAAATTTAAAACAACCACCGAGAGAATAAATTTACCAAAAGAGAAATTAAATTTGCTAAATCCAAATATTTCTCGCTCAACAAGAGAAAAACAAATACTTCGATCCGTGAGTTGAAGAATTTCGAGATCTCGGAACAACAAACCACCCCCTCACCATCTTGCAGTTCACCCTTCCGCCTGGCCTGCAAATCTCTCGCCTTCAGCGTCCCGGGCAGGACAAAGTCCTCGTCGCAAAACAGCATCGTCTCCTCGTATATCTCGGAGCTTCTTCTCATCAATCTCTCCACCGACTTGGCCGTCTGCAGTCGGTGGAGTTCCTCCTCGCGGCGTAGCCAGTCCCTCTCCTCCGGGGCCACGTATTCGCAGAAATCGCGTAGCCGGACCGGCGTCCGAATGCTCGACGTTCGTTCCTCCTCGTGCACGCGGCCGGCTCGCCGATCGTTGTAGAAACAGAGTAACAGCGAGTCCGTGGGCTCGAAGTATCGAGGAGCCAGACGGTCGAACACCGTGAGACACCGATGAACAAGCTGCAGAAAAATCGCTTCGGGCATTAGCTGCACGTCGGTGAAGTCCTCCGGTCGAGCTCTGTCCGCCGCTCTCGCCTCGAACATGTTCCGCGCCAAGTAACCGGGCGCCAATAATTCACGCGGGTCTATCAGGTCGAACAGGGGTGAGCACCGGGCGATCTCCGGTACCGTTCTACCGTAATCGATGTTCCCGTCGCTGAGGAAACGCAGCTCGCGCATCCGCTTCGTCGAGAAGCTCGACAGAGACTTGCTACGCTCTAAGGATTCTGGTGACTCTGTAGAACGATATATTAGTTCACATTATAGTTAACTAGTTTATATTTTAATAGTATATTAGCATATATTAGTATTTCATTGGTATATTAGTATATATTAGTATCTTATTGGTGTATTTGTGTTTATTTGTATTTTATTGGTATATATTAGAATTTTATTAGTATATTAGTATATATTAGTATTTTATTAGTACATTAGTATATACTAGTATTTTATTAATATATCAGTATATATTAGTATTTTATTAATATATCAGTATATATTAGTATTTTATAAGTATATTGGTATATACTAGTACTTTATTGGTACATCAGTATATATTAGAATTTTATTAGTATATTAGTATATATTAGTATTTTATTTAGTACATTAGTATATATTAGAATTTTATTTAGTATATTAGTATATATTAGTATTTTATTAGTATATTAGTATATATTAGTATATATTAGTATTTTATTAGCATATTAGTATATATTGGTATTTTATTAGTATATTAGTATATATTAGTATTTTATTGGTATATTAGTATATATTAGTATCATATGGGTATATTAGTATATATTAGAATTTTATTAGTATATATTAGTATTTTATTAGTACATTATTATATATTAGTGTTTTATTAGTATATCAGTATATATGAGTATTTTATTAGTATATTAGTATATATTAGTATCTTATTGGTATATTAGTATGTATTAGTATGTATTAGTATGTATTAGTATTTTATTAGTATATATTAGTATTAGTATTAGCATATAGTTTATATTAGCATTAGCTCTATTAATTTCAATTATTAGTTAGTTGCAATTATAATATATATTAGTAGTTGCAATTATTGTATATATTAGTAGCAGTAGTAGTTCAATTAATTTCAATTATTAGATAGTTGCAGTTATAGTATATATTAGTATTAGCATAGTTTATATCAGCATTAGTGTATATTAATTTCAATTATTAGTTAGTTGCAATTATTGCAACATCTAATTCGTAAAATATTGAAATTTATGTGCTATAGTAGGATACAATAAACGACGAATTGAAATTAAAATTTTTACAACGATTGTAAACTTGACAGCACGTTAAAAAATTGTGGGGATCAAGAGTATGGCCCTCTTGAAAATATCTTTCGATGTTTCGAAATCGATAAGATTGTATTTTATACATTTTTGTCACTTTATTACAAATAACTATTCTATTTTATTGGAATTATCATAATAATATAGTAATAACTCTGTTTTATTTACATGAATTACTGTTAATATATAGAATATTAACTATTCTATTTTATTGATTTATAATAATATAATAATTCATTATTGTATTACATTTTATATAACGTCCTATATTATATATTATAATGATATTATATAATAATAATTATTTATTATTATAATTTTATAATATTTATACCATGTTATTTCATTTCTGATATCATTTTAAATAACTCACCCAGCACAGACACCTTCTCCCCTTTCGTCGTCGCGTCATTAATAATCCCAGACGTTTCTGCCTCCATCGTTTCGAACTCGTTCAATCGAGACATCATTCCGTCGAACATTAACACGTGCAAATGATGTCGGACCTCTTCGTCGTTCACCTCCTCGTCAAAGTAACGTCGGATGTTATCGATGTGACGGGTGTACTCGTTCGATTTTCCCTCGGATGTACTATGCTTTTGGAAAAAATTCGCGATCACCGGTTGTCGGAAGATGGGCAGAATATTGTCGATCAAATCTGTCGGGTTCGCGATCATCCGTTGAATCGCAGAGTCATCGAGAAGACGAATCGCCTCTAGCAGGCTGTCCTCGTGAAGAATTAGTTTAATGTCACTGACGGTTTGTCCGTCGTGGCCGATGTCGCGTTCTTCGTCCTCCAGATTGTATTTAATATCCAGGCTCTTGATCTTCTCCTCGAAAGCGAGAGGAACGGCCGGTGATTTATTCGTCGTTTCGCTTTTCGCTTCCGTTTCTACGTCGTGCTGCTTGGTGCGACATGTGCGATTGAAATTTCGTTTCAGACTTATATCGAGATTTAAAATTACGATAACTCGAGTCTGTTGAAATATAAAATTTTCCCCAAGATCAAAGTGTAATGTCTATTTTGCAATTCAGCGTATTTTTATGTTAGAACTAATTTATTATTTTGGAACTAATTTTCTATTTTGGATCGAACTGGGATTTCGTTAAATTTTTTTTATCGAAATTTAAAATTATAATATCCGCGTCTAAGTTTCGTGTATAAAATTTATGTTTATTTGTGTTACGTATTTGTATTTGTGTTTATGTTTATTTTGTCCATTTCACTGGCTAAAGTTTATCAATTATGCAATAGCACAATACTCGACACATTTATAAACATGAATACTCGATTTTATTAAATATTGTCAAAATGACTTCAAGATTAAATTACTTATTTATAAAGACTAATTTTAGTATATATCCAATTTTAGGATTCAAACGTTGTAATTTAAAACTATAAGCTAAGATTAGATCCAATTCTTCTCTCTAGTAAAAGAATTTCCAATTAAGTTTCGTTTCGTTTCTCCAACCGAGATTTTCTAGCTGGTGATTAACTTCTCAAACTTTTGACTTTAGAAAAGAATTGCACACGCCCGAAAAATTTAAGAATTAAACACAATTTTTAAATGTAAATTAAACCCAAATTCAATTCAATTCAATTCACAATTTAACCAAAAAATTTGACACGGTACAATTTATAATTAAATACAATTTTTAGATACTAGAGTTAAACACAAATGCAATTTAACCAAACAATTCAACACAGTGCTATTTACAATTAAATACAATTTTTAGATACAAATTAAACACAAATGAAATTCAACTCACAAGACTTCACCAAAGAATTCAACGCAATGCAATTCATAATTAAAACACAGTTTTTAGACACAAATTAAACAGCAAATCAAATACAATTTACAATTTAACCAAATTTAGTTTAATCCAAAACGAAACGTTGTAATATTAACTCACGTTCTCGCTTGTTGTCCCGGTAGCTGTAGTTCCCCTTTCGTTCGCCACGATTTGCGTCAGTATCGCGAACAATATCAGCGGCACGGAGACGCACTCCGAAGGGAACCCATCCAACAACGTCTCGTAAACCTGCGTGTTCGCTCTTCCATCCGCTTCCATGCCAACCTCCACTCTCATGCTCTTCAAGTAGTTACCGTGCTGCCTGCAAAGGTCGTAGAAATCGTACAGGATGCACGACACTCTGTCGTACGTGTCTTTCTTCAGCGCTTCGTCGTCGTCTTTCGACGATTCCTCGTCGAACCTCGGCGGCGAGAACACAAGGAAGCCGACGTCGCCGAGCTCCGGATTCGCCACGGGGTCCCTCGATCGTTCCTCGAGCTTCGTCCAAAAATTGTACAGCTTGAGCACACGCGCGCTGTACTCCTCGAGGAAGTACAGTTTCCCGGGCCTGGTCTCGACATCACCGTCGTGAACGAGACGCTCGCCGGGACGTTTGATCTGCATCAAGCAGCGCAGTGGCACGCCCACGTTTATCAGCTGCTGGGGCAAGTCAGGATCGTGGAAGCAACTGAGAATCACGTAGAGATTCGGCCCGTTTATCGGCGCGTCGTCCACGTACACCGCGTCCCGCCATTCCTCGCCGCGTTTCCGCAGCTTCGTGTTTGCCTTCCTTTCGTATCGCCTCCGTATCGTGTCCGATTGCCCTGCCGGATTGATGATTCCGTTTGAATCGTTTGAATCGTTCGAACACTTTCGAGGTATTCGAGAGGAACATGGCTAATCCTGTTTTTCACCTGTAGAATTCACATGTACATATGTATATACATGTAATAATATATAAACGTTATTCTTAAATTAATGTAACAGGGTATCTAATCCTAGTTTATTATTTTTATATAAAAATTTATACTATTTTGAATTTCACTTGAAATCAATAAATTTGATATGGTAATTATTTTTATTATAATAAAATTTATAAATTATTAAATTATAATATAAGTTTAACCGCTACTTCTGGCACTTTAATTTATCATTATTAATTTTAATTCCTCTATTTTATTTTCATTACATTATATATACTTTTTTATTAATTTTATTACATATATATATATTTAATATAAATTGTATATAAAATATTAATTTAATTAATAATTTAACCATAATTATATTTTATTTACATTATTAACATTAATAATTCATTTGAAATCAAAATTTAACATGAAATTTACATTAAATATGTTATAATTTTTATTTTTGTATAATATAATAATAAATTTTGATTTTAAATGAATTATTAATGTTAACAATATAAATAAAATATAATTATATATAAATATATAAATAAAATATTATATATATATATATATATATATATATATATATATATATATATATATATTTAACTATATAATGTAACCCAGGCAAAATGATAAGCATTACTTCTTAATAATTTCTATCCAGTGATATCATTGACGAGTTTAAAAGGAAAAGAAGCGACGAATTATTGTACGATTTGGTCACTCCTTATGGTCCGCGAACCAGTTGCCAGCCAGCGCAAGTGGTTAAGTACATTTAAATGTAACCCAGGCAATACAGAAAAATGATAAGTTTATCACTTCTTAATAATTTCTATCCAGTGATGTCACTGACGAGTTCAGAAGGAAAAGAAAGCGACGAATTATTGTATACGGTTCGGTAACTCGTTACGGTCCGCGAACCAGTTACCAGCGCAAGGGGTTAAACGCCTGCGCACAGTTAATGGTGGAACATTTAGAGGTTTCTCGAACCCCAATAGTATCTTCCTTTCCTCCACTAAATTTCGAGTCATATCGTCGACACGTCGACAAATGAACGAACCACGAAAGGCTAAAAACGAAGCGAAGAGAACATCCAAGGATTAAAACTTTCGCGCCTCGATGCCTCTTTGTTGGAGGAGTGGAAGACGGAAGGGAAGGGGTGGAACCACGGCAACCGTGGAACAGAGAGCGAACGTATCCAAAACAGGGATTTCGGGGGAACCCGGGCACGGTTGACTGAGTAAAATATCCTTCGTTGCTATTCCCGGAGTTTCGAGGGGGGGGACAACTGCGGGGACTCTCGGCTGCCGCGACTCGTCGCGAGAACCGAGAGGGATGGTCTCACCGGTGACCGGAGAAAGAGGAGAAGACACAAGGGTAGGTCCTGCATTGCGACAACTAATGAACCATCTTGGAATGGACCCCCGAAGTCCCTCGAGACGTGACGGCGCAATGCAGTCGCGGGCAACCGGCGCTGGCGACGACCATCGCCGACTCCGACGTCTGGCTTCACTTTTTGCTCTCATCATCCCTCGCGCGCCACCCTTCCAATTTCTCCGCACAGTCCGATCCTATCTTTCGATTCCTCCGGCGTGTGCCCCTTTTCTCTCTCTCTCTCTCTCTCTCTCTCTCTCTTTCTCTTTCTCTTCGCTCCTTATTTCCTTAAGACATCTTCCCTCCCTTATAGAATCTTGTTTGAATTTTCTTCCTGGCTGACCAACGAACGAACGGACGGACCTTCTTCCTGCGTCCCGTCTCCCTAACAAAGTCGTTCTTTCCGTCTTTTCCTCTTTCCTTCCCTCGTTCTTCCACCCACGGGGGCGGACGGCGCGGAACTTGATTTTTCCTCGTGTCCCTCCCCCCTCCTGAGTCACGCCTGACTGGAATTCGAACAAGATCAGAGCGACGAGATTTTTTTTTTTTTCTTGGATCCCTGGAGAACAAAGAGGGGGAAGAGGAGTAATTTTTACAATAAGTTCCGGCCTTTCAATGTTTTCGTAATGCAACGACAAACGACCGGGAGGAAACCCATTATAAAATGCAAAGCGCCGCGCCGGCTGCTGTCTTTGCCGCCCCCGTATCGTCCGAGACACGTAGTTAATGCACTGTGTCCTTGAAATGTGTCGCGATAACGTATTATTTCCCTCATTCCCTCGAAGTAACGCTCGTTCTTTTTCACGATCGACTTCGTCGCGATTGCGACTGTTGAGACATCTCTGTTTCACATCTCGGCTCTCATTCTTGCAAATCGCTTGAATAAACATCTCTCGTCCGAATATTTAACCTCTTGCGCTGGAATGACGTGCCACGCACGTCGAGAATTTTTCGTTTCAAAATTCCAATAGTCTCTCAGTTTCAAGTATATTTAAGTAAAACAAAATAGGCAAAACAAATAAATTTATTACTTCTCAATATAACCTATATTCTAGTTAAATACATTAGGATAGATTATGTTTCGAAAAGATAGCGACGAATTATTGTATTACGGTTTTGGTCACTCGTTATGGTCCGCAATCTGTTGCCAGAGCAAATGGTTAAGGATACCTGTAAGTGATGTCGTTTTCTGTCACAGTAAAGAATTTTATTTTATTTAAAAGTTAATACAGCTTTAACCTTCAATATAATTTGACAATAAACACACTAAATGTCAATGTATTTAACTAGAGTACAGGTTATATTAGGCATAACATAGGTTACGTTATAACATATTATATATTATATATTACAACATAACGTACTATAAATAAGTAAAATTATATATTTAAGTAAAACAAAATAGGCAAAACAAATAATAAATTTATTAATTCTTAATAATTTCTATCCAGTGATATCATACCGACGAGTTCAGAAAGAAAGGGATGAATTATTGTATACGGTTTGGTCACTCGTTATGGTCTGCAATCAGTTACCAGAGCAAGTGGTTAAGGATACCTAAAATTCTTTACAGTATCAGTGTCGTTTTCTGTCAGTATAAAGAATTGTATTTTATTTAAAAATTAATACAGCTCTAATCTTTAATATAATTTGACAATAAACATACTAAATGTCAATGTATTTAACTAGAATACAGGTTATATCAGGCATAGGTTATGTTATAACACTTTATATATTATAGCATAACATGTTATAATAAATAAAATTGTATATTTAAGTAAAACAAAATAGGCAGAACAAATAATAAATTTATTACTTCTATCCAGTGACGTCATACCGACGAATTTTCGAAAAGATAGCGACGAATTATTGTATTACGATTTTGGTCACTCGTCCGTTATGGTCCGCGAACCAGTTGCCAGCGCAAGTGGTTAAAGAACAGCAACCACGAATTCTCGAATTCTCGATTCCTCTCGCGAGGAAAGGACACGACGAGTCGCGTGTTGCGCAGTACGAGACAGGTCCCGAGGTAACGAACAATATTCAAATTATTTCGAAAATTTATGTCTCCACTCGGAGTCGTAGATTTTTCGGCTGGTAATGAAGAGAAAAGGAAGTAGAAAGGAGAGAGTAGAGAAGAGAGAGGAGAGGTTAGGTCTGGCACGCCGTTAACGGACCGGGAAACAAGGCGAGGGCCCTAACTTTCGTTACCGCGTGCTCCCGAGAATTTATTATTCCGCGTACGGAAAAGGGTGGCCCTTGTGTAAGCCACGTTCGCTTTAACGCAATTACCGCCTTCCCGTTGCTCCGCGAAGGGTGAAAACGGCCACCGAAAACGAAATTCTTCCTACGTTTCTCTGCGCATTTCCTCCGATGGTTCTCGTCTCCGTGGCCTCGATCGGCCGTATAAATCAGCGATCTTCTGAACAAACTAATTGTAGGCACAGCAGGGGTGATTTAGAAAACAAACGAATATCGGCGTAAAAGACAATCCAGTTGGCCTGATTTCGAAATCTAAAGCTAGGTCTTAGCTTTTGCCAAAAATGTTTCTGCATCGTGCGGCAAAGTCAGGAATTTTGCAACAATTCAAATAGCTGCGAGAAAAGATTTTCAATTTACCATAACCTTGAAGATCGAAGTCCACTGTTTAAACTTCCTATACGACTTCTTCAATCTTGTCCTTGAAATTCAAGAAATGTTCAGTGA